CTGCTAAGTTATTCCTCAGCAGGTCACTTAACATTTTAGAGCTGCTGTGTCTGTGCAGCATCAAATGATAAGGTGGTCTGCCTTCAGCAGCGACTGCATGAATACAAACAGCAGGGCTTCCTGTAAAACGCCACCATAACTTTCCTGTACCTGTGCAGAAGAGGAGCTCTCACAGGATATGGTCTCTCATGCATAACAGCTTCCACCTTCTCTACGGCAAAGACAAGCGAGGTCCTATTTGCACACAGCAACCCTACCACCACAAATTGAGTGAGTTTTCTCTCGGTTAGCAGGGAACCCTGCTGGTGTTAAAAAGCAAACATTTATCTGCCTGAAAACCGAGGACAGTTGGCTCTATTTAAATCGGCTTTCCTTCAAGTTTCTTGAATGAAATGCTCCTTCTCGGTTAAATCGTTTTTTTCCTTCCTTCTGTTATTAAAGTTTAAATCATCTTCTTCACTGTCAAATGGGCTGTAAAGTGCGGGTTTACTTCCAATCAGGCAGCTATAAACTCTTGGTTTGGATGCACTGTTGTGTCTTATTGGCTGATGGACATCTGAAGAGATGATGCTGATTTTCTGTATGGACCAACAGAAACCCACTGCAAATCTGTAATCTGCTGAGTGGACTCTAAAGTTAGACAGCTTGTCTGCTTGTTATGCTTTTCCAGGAAAGGGGGCTTTGAACACACATTTGCTTGATTAGTGTTGTTTCTGTGTGAAGGGCTGCAATGACAGTGCTGGTCTGGTCCAGGGATAAGTGAGAAAATTCACATCTTCATCAGGTGTGGTTCACAGAGATTTTCATTTCCATGCGGTTGGACTGGATTGTCCAGGGAACAGTGTTGTGCTGATCAAGAAGATGATGAAAAAGGATGAAGAAGGAACCACTCAGTCATGGAACCCGCAGACATATATATACGTAGATGCCTCGTTTGGCGCAGGATCGCACGTCGACGTCCCCGCCATATTGTATGTGGCAGAAGGCAGTTGTCAAACTGGACACACTAATACTCCATTTACACCACCCTTGAAAAACCGTGCCGAGACCGGTCCGAGCTCAGTAACTGAGATAACTTATCGTGTGTAAATGAAAAGCAAACTGAACCGAACCGAGCTAACTGCAGACCAGTTCCAGAGGTGTGCTCGGCTCGGTTTTTCCCTGGCTCGGTTCTCTGATAACAAGAGCGCATGAGCAGAACGCATCATCTCCGTCTGGCTGCACATCGCAATTCACACTCCATTCCAGTAGTTGGCGGTAATGCCCCTCCGGAAGTTGCTTGTCAACCAACACAAAACAGAAGAAGAAGAGCAACTATAAACAACAATCGAAATCTTCTCCACGCAACATTTTAAATAATAACACTGAAGTACAGCAATAATAATCAAGCATAACTTTCTGAATGTGACGGGTACCGCCATTTTGATTTGCTTGATTCCCTCCTTCTTTGTGTTTTATGGCGGTTGGCAAACAACTTTTGGTGCATTACCGCCACCAACTGCTTGATTTCCTCCTTCAATACTGGCAGTAATATCGGAGATCGTCACTAGGAGGCGAGGAACCGAGATAGCGTGATGTGTAAACGGTCGTTAGAACCGAGCTCGCCCCGGTTAACTGATCCGAGATTGGACCGGTCTCAGCATGGATCGGATTTTCAAGGGTAGTGTAAATGGGGTATAAAGCTGCAGAGTGGCAACACTCGGAAAAAGCTGTGCAAGACCATCTTTATCAAGCTTTTTATCTCGCATACAGTACAGACTGTTGTTTTTAGATGTAGATGTGCAGATATAGATTTTGAAGTATTAAAAATAAATAGGTGTGTAACAACATAAAACTATATGTCAGTATTATAGATGTGTCTCTATCTATGTATATATATATATTAGAAAAAACGTATACATATATATATATATATATATATATATATATATATATATATATATATATATATATATATATATATATATATACACATACACATATATGTGTATATGTGTGTATATTAGGGGTGGAACGGTTCACAAAATCCACGATTCGGTTCGATTCACGGTTTCTGGTCACGGTTTTCGGTTCGATTCGATACATGTTGATTGTTACACCAAAATCCCATAAAAATTTATGAAATTAATGAAAAAATCCCCCAAAAAATAATGGATTGTAATTATTTTAAATGATCCGCAGAAACCCTGGATCATTTCCGCATGTTTTGCTGCTTTGAATTTAATCATCTGGCGCATGCTCTCTATCATCTCCAAGGAACTCAGAGCGGAGCGGACGGAGGGAGCCACAGTGGAGGCTGTAGGCTTTGCTTTGAGCAGCCGGTCTGGAGCGCAGCGGGGCGGAGCGCTGACGGAGTATGAGGGATTTCAGGGTTAGCATGACATGTTGGTCATGTTGCTGTTAGCATAAACAAAACGTGTTGCACAATGCTCGCACACTGTTGCACTTTTATCCACAGCTTTCTTTCCTCCATCATCGTAGGTCACTCTAAATGCAAAGTGGTCCCATACAGCAGACCTAGGGCTGCAACTAACGATTATTTTAAAAATCGATGAATCGGACGATTATTTTTTCGATTAATCGATGAATCGGACAAAAAATATTTTTTATATTAACCTCTTTATTCCAAAATAAACATTATAGACAGAACAAACAAGCACACAAGTACAGGTTGCTCATTAACTGTACTGGTGCAATATGAAAAATAAATGTTTGTGTTAAAACTACGCAAACTTACATGAGAAATGTAGCTGTACATCCACAAAATATAGGGTACTTTGTTTCATAAAGCGCAAAAAAATACATTTTTGTTTTTAAAAGCCTCTAAGGGGTTCAAACAATAGGCCCCCCCATTTCAACAAATGAGTTTTTTTTAGACTAGAAGAGGGCTGCCTTTTAAGACAGGAAAGTATAGCAGTTAAAGTTGCTGCTTGAGAAAATACTGAACCATAGAGATAAAAATAGCCCTGTGATTCAAATTATAAATTGTATTTGGAATAAAAATGAGAGAACTAGGGGTGCTAAAAAACACATCCTCCAAAGACAGATATTTACATGGGAATGTGGCAGATAATTAATTGACATATTACTGATCTTGCTGGATTTTATTCTGCTTTACTTCCATAAATTGCAGGATCATCTTTACTTTATCTTTGCCAGAAGATTTAAACTTTAAAAGTCTTGCCCTCATAATTTGCAAGTTAATTTATTTATAAAGTAAATATAAACGCTGCTTAAGCTAATTCAAATGAAATTAAAAGTAAAATAAGTAGCCAACCTTATCACTGTCTGTAACCTACTAACACGGTAAGGAAAGCATCAGATGAGCTACCTGAGAAACTAACGTTACGTTTCCCCACTTTAAAACCAAACAAACATGGTGGTTCCGTGCCATGTTAATTTCTTTTGAAAAACTTCACTTTTTTCGCTTTACAAAGCGCAGGCTATTTTAATTATTGTGATCAATTTGCGCCGTCAATCCCGGTGCATGCGCGCTTCATTTGCAGTCTGGACGCTGAGGCTCTGACTGAGAGGGACTCCTGCGGGAAAACGCGGTTGGGGTGGGGGAGGCGCCCCACGGCAGAGTAGGAACGATGCATGCTTTCACGTAAGAGTCTCCAAAAGCCGCCAGTGACACCGAAAAAAGTCGCCAGATTTGTCGCTAGTCGCTTTTTTGAAAAATAGTCGCTGGAGAGGTCTGAAAAGTCGCGGAGTTGGCAACACTGCACCTGCGGCGCTGACTCGCTCTGCCGTATTTTTTTTTCTTCCTCTTTCAGTCAAGAGGCAGTGATGACGGCGCGGCAGATGACGCAATAATCGCGCGACACAACTAATCGATGATGAAATTCGTTGCCAACGCTTTTAAAAGTCGATTTTTATCGATTTTATCGATTCGTTGTTGCAGCCCTAAGCAGACCTATAAAGTGCTGCTGGTGCGTCTTCCAACTCCTGTTCTTTCCCACTCGCCATACCCACACAATTCTCCACAACAACTGATTTTTTTCTGCTACACCCGGCTAAGCTGCTTCGCTTCTTCTTCTTCTTGTTTACTACTGGCGGTTGGCTTTGGTCGCAGTACCGCCACCTTCTGCTCTGGAGTGTAATCGCTTCCTCTATGAGAAAAAGGAGCAGCGCATGAACCGAACGAAACACACGCGAACCGAACCAAGACAGTCGAACCGAACGGTTCGGACGGTTTTCATAAATCGTCTCATCCCTAGTGTATATATGTATATATATGTGTGAGAGTGAAGATATGTGTGTGTATGTGTATATATATATATATATATATATATATATATATATATATATATATATATATATATATATATATATATATATATATATAAAAACAGTGACAGTAAGCCTTGTGAAAAAAGTACCCTGAACCAAAGTACTCTGAGTTGGTACTAATGGAAAAGTAGCACATTATGAGAAACTTGTCTGAAATGAACTAAACAAACACTCTCTCACCACTAACCAAGTGGGAATTTCATTTTGCTTTAGTGAAGATCAGCAGTCATCCAGGTCATAGTCAGTCCAACAAAATTAAAAAAGTAAAAAAAAAAAAAACACTGGACTTTGTTTTCCAAGTTCGAAGACGTTTCGCTTCCCATCCAGGAAGCTTTCTCAATTAAAAATGAGTTCCAGGTTTATAGAGTGGCACAAACAAAAACTGGTTACAGTATTGAAATGGAAATAATACCTAAAAACTACCTGGGCGTATGATGTATTTTTTTAATCACACTCTGTCGTTTTGGTGCAGTGGTGTAACAGTAAGGGGATCCGAGATAAGAAATGCGCAGAGTGAGCACATTTTAAATGGAAATGATTTAAGCTTTCTGGTGTTTTTTTCTCTCTGTAATGCCCTCTGCATACTTCAGTGCATCACATGCCATTGCAGATGTCTTTTCCTGCATGACCGACTTATTACAGCTCTCAATATCTTCCATATTTTTAAAAGAAAAAAAAATGATTTGGCATTTTCTTCTTGTTTTAAGTTCCAGGAACTTCAGGTTGACCGGGAGATGCTGCTGACCACCAACCGGAGCCTGGCTGAGGAGAACCTGGCTCGGCGACCCCGGCTTAATAACGGCAAGCTCCAGCTGGCGGAGAAATACAAGGAACTGTCCAGCCTCGTAACCACATGCTGGGAAAAACAGAGTCAGCTGGGTGAGTTCACCTCGCCACTGAGGAGACACGGAGGGGGGGGACGTGGGTCAGGTTTCATGTGCTGAAATGTCAGTGGGCAACCATGATGGCAGGGTCACTGGTTAGTATCCACGGTTGGATCGATGATCACATTTATTTAAAAAGGGTTTTTTTCCCAGCATTCTCAGACAATTCAATGAAAACAGACATAAAAATCAGTCGGGAAAGGTCACCTCTCAGCCACTTAAGGTTGAAGCTAATTACATACCAAAACCCACAGTGGCTCCTTGGTGTCTTCCCTGGTAATTGCAGGAAGACACCCAGAATGACTCCACAGTTTGCGACATGGAAAGCAGAGCGGTATTTGAAAGCCATCCAGCTCTCTGTGACAGCTTAGCTGGTTCTGAGACTGAAGGAAGCTTCGCATCAGAGTAGAGAAAAGCTTCAGAGTGTCACCGAGACGAGCCTTCATCTGCTCAGCCAAAGCCTCAGCATGACTGGAGTTCGGTCATGGGAACCAAATGGAGCATATCAAATGCCAGCAGGAAGCTTGCAGCAGTTGTCAAGAAATTTGCTTTTTGTTTCGGCAACCTGACAGTGCAGCTAGCCGCAGGGCAGCAGCAGAGGATGTCATCTAAGCCTTGATACTAAATTTTAAGCTCGGTGGGTAAGCGTTAAAGATTCTTACAGTGCGAGTCGAATCAGCAATGGGTGAAAGAGGAAGCGTTGCTGCATTAATTTCCATAATGTCTTCTGCCCCCTTTAAGTTCCTCTGTGCTGTAATAAAAAGTCCAGACTTGTGCCTCAGCTGCAGGCCGGTGATGGAAGTTGGGTGGAATGCTAAACTTCCTGTGGATGTGCATGCAGCACACAGATGCTATCCCACCTCCCCGGCGAGGCAGGATGGGCGGGGGTCCGTCCTTGCCTCCTTCCTGCTCACATCTGATTCTCATTTGCTTCTGCAAGACGGGGGACAAGAAATATGAATGGGATGGCTTCACTTGATGTAAGCGTTCCCAGCGGAGGCGAAGTTGCGGGTCGCTGCGGGCGGCTGCATCGATACATGCATCCTGCTTTTTTTTTTTTTTTTCCTCTGAGGGGGAATTTGTGAATGGGGAAAGCTGGCAGGGTGGGAGCTGGCCGGCTAGGTGGAGAAGAAACATTAAGACTTCCTGGCTTAGAGGTTCTCATAAATATCACAGCCACTGAGGGGCTACTTTTTAAACAGATTACTTAGCAATTTTTAAATGTATAAACAATCATTTTCACAGCATTTGAAGAAATCCTATAACTTTAAAAGCATAAAGGCTAATAACTGGGTTTACTGTCCTGCTGCAAACTCTCATGGACAGCAAAAAAAAAAAGAAAAAGTCAGATTTAGAGGTAATTCGGACCAGATGTAGACCAGAGGTTGGTATGTAAAGGATTTGCAAAAAGCTGGCAGGACTAGAACAGTGTGAGGGGGGGCAAATGTTGGCATTGGGTGGAGGGAAGTGCAATTTGTAGACAAACAGCGTCATTAAGAGCAAGAAACACAGCAGACAAGTCTGGGAGAACATTGTTGAGAATTTTAAAGCAGGGTTAGGTTAGAAAACAGCTCTGATCTTGGAACATCTCCTATTTTGTCTCGTTAAAAAAATCCAGTCAAAGTTTAGACCTAAATCCAGTCGAGGATCTCTAGCAAGACTTGGAAGCAGATTTTCCAGGATGCTCTACCCAGCCTTGCTTTGTGTGAGCTGTTGTACTAAGTTTATATTGTCTTGATTTAAAGCACTTTGTAGAAAAGGCAAAAAAGAATGAACAATCTGGGAAAATAATAGAATATAGTCTACTTTTTCTAGATGTTTCTTAATTTGCATAGTTGCCTTTAAATAAACATATTCTCAGAAAATAAATAGTTTTTATATATAAAAATATATACAGCTGACTAATAGCTTCTCTATTATTAAACTGGTAATTTATTTTTAGGTTTGTGAAACAATATTGGACCATGCAAAACACAGATTTACCTTGACAAAGCCTCAAGATTTATGCACAAAAACAAAGCTTTACATGAAATCATGTTTTGTTTCTATTACGTGTTTTTTATGTAGTGTTTTTCTAATGTGTTTTTTTTTTTGTTGGCATTCGTATAAATATAGTGGTGTGATAACTTAGTATACATTTGATTGGTTTTTGGATGCATCTATTTTGACTTTATAGTCCCCCCCAGGTAACAAGGTGGTAGCCTCGTGAGACCATCCTGATCTCGCGAGCTTTCAAGGTTTCACTCGCTAATCAGTCTGGAGACTCTCCGTTAAAGAAAATTTGGAGCAGTTCACTAGGGGTGTAAATCACATCCATCATGGCGATTCGATTCAGTATTGATTTCCTGACCCAACGATTCGATTATTTTCGATACTCAAGAATACATCACGATACGATTCGATTAATCGGTTAATTTTTTTGTTTTTCTTTTTTCTTTTACACCTTACAGGCTGAATAAAGTTTCAAGTTTGAAATAAATCAATAAAAACTGTAATATCGTTATGCATTTTTTTTTAGAAACAACAGCAAATAACAGAAGTAGAAAAGTTGTATCAAAAAATACTGCAGAAAATCAGTGCAATGAGTTCAATGCAATACCTCGGCTCCAGAAGTCCCGCCCCCTCCACAGACGCTCCGCTGCTCCTCTCCCAAATTGTAGCTGACTGCAGACAGGAGGCCAGCTTGTTTTGTTTTTATGACCGAAATTGCGGAAAACAACTCGTGAAGTTTGACCCGCTAGAAGAGCGAGGTGTGCGAGAACGCTGGGACCTTTTTTCCACAAGGATCTCCGCTCTTTTTGGCCCTCATTTCCCTCCGTCGTCGGACTAAGCTCGCCCCCACTTCCTCACCGCCTCGGCCGTATCTAGACCCACAGCGTGTAGCTCAGACCACGCTTCAATATTGAGCATAATTTAAAAATGTCTGCGTCAAGCTCACTGCAACACACTGCTGTAAGAGTATAACCAGGAAGCGAGGTAGGAGGGCAAAATAGGTTTAGCGGCACCGCAGCACGGGAGGGAGAATTACACCCAGGAGCAAATGGATAAAAATAGACCGGAGAAAAAAAAAAAACATGAATCGATTCTCTTGCGGACATATCGATGCATCGATACAAACGATTATTATTTACACCCCTACCGTTCACCAAACGAACGTCCAATCAGCGTTGGCTTTGAGGCGGGTTGAGGTGTGACGCAACGAGAAGCGCGACAGTTCAGTCTAAAGAACATGGCGGCTTCAGCCGATGAAACTAGCGTTAGCGTGGCTATCGAGCAAGTTTTATCGGAATTACAGAGTATTTCTTCACTGAAAGAAGAGCAAAACACTGCTCTGGAGGCTTTTCTCAGAGGAAAATATGTTTTTGCTCTTCTCCCGACTGGTTTCACCAAGAGTTTGATCTATCAATTGGCTCCTCTTCGTCGTCGCTCTGTTAGTACGTCATATGCTTCGTTGATCTGATTGGTTTATTTGGCCCGTCTATCACCAACATAGGCCAATCAGCTAACCAGTATTTTCGCCCCTTCCCAAAATTACTTCAACGGAAGGTTTCCAGATGGATATGCGGAGCAAATCCATCTGGTGGAGTCAGGTTAACAAGGGGGTGGTTCTCCAGGGTACTCACTCGGACTAGCTGGATACAGATGCCCAACGCACTTTTCAGATATTTATAGATGGACATTTTTGAAAACTAAGTATCCTTTTCTTCTTATTTTGAGCTGTAACATACAGTAATACTTTCATCTCTGTGGCTGTAAAATGAAGAAATGTAAAAGTATTTAAAGACATTTGTAAGGCACTGCACAGGCAGTTACTGCAGCATCAGACAGTGACTCATAATAGTGACCAGACCTCAAACATCCCTGCTCTTTAGGCATTACTACAGCTGTTATAAAATCAATCATAAAATCAGTGTGTCGCTTGATCCAGGCAGTTTACACGATATTAGACCCAGTTTCAACAAAAAACCCATCATCAAGCAGGTGATTTACTGGATCAGGGAGCTCCAAATGCTTGCTATTGGGGCTATATAGCCAAAGAGGCACAGCTGATTTCTAAGCAGCACTTATAAGGTGATTTGCAGAAAGCCAAATCTTGCTGGGCTCTGTGTAGCGACTCTCACCCCCTGGCGGCATTGAGTGCTTCTGCTACAGCTGCATGTTTTCACCTACATCTGATTCTTCTGAGTCTCTTAAATTGTCTAAACGCTGGTTGAACATTAGATGATGCCGCTGCGCTCTTTGCTTTGTATCATATCACTATAGTCCCACTTACTGCGCGATCCCGTCTGACCTTTTCATCTCATGATGACTACGGCTCTGTGACTGCCTCCCGAGGTGGATCGGAGGCCGAACAACAGTGGGTCGACTTTAACTACGTCTTAATGCTTTCAGCTCATCGCCAAGAGGGGACAGAGCACGCACACCTCTCTGGATAGGACCCGTTATCAGACTGTGTGGTTGCAGCCCCTGTGTTTTTCCTATATTGATCACCAAAAAAAAGTATTTTAGTAATACAGATGCAGAAAAAAGCGGGTTCTTTTCTCTGAAAAGGTTATTTAAAGTAAATTAATTTGAATAAGTCGTCTTATTAGATGTATCAAATATATATTTTTAGATTGTCTAAAAATTGTCCTTGTTTACAGTTAAGTCTCAGCTCCTAACAGCGTGAGGTGAGCAAAAATACATTCGACTCTGTCACTGGCTAGATATCTGTGCTTTAAGGTTGGCACTTTGAGGAGAGGTCTATTTTTACATTTTTAAAGAACAGTACACAGACGAAAAGATGACAGATGCCAACAAGTTTTCTGATTTTCAGATAATTATCTCATGCATGACATTGTTTAAAGGAAAAGTCCGATCAGCAAGGAATGACCGACGGATCATTATTTATACCTAAAACTAATACGTTTTTGTTGCGATCACCGAGTCTGGGAGCGGCCATTTCTGCCCAAATATAGTAACCCCTCCCTCCTGCCATCTTCCAGCAGTGACGTC